AAATAAAGTATATTACAGGAGATATTCAGTTGTTTTAATCATAAAATGGATTTCTATTTGACAACTAGTGCCAGTACTTTTCCGCGTATCAAGATCACTTGGTATATTAAACAGCCTTAAAATCTCATTAATATTCATGAGGAAAAGACAAAGGAAACACTGGCATGTCGGTGGTTAGTTTATACGTGATAAAAAATCATGTTAATTTACATGAACTGTTAGTTTTGATATTCTCGGCTTAGACAATGTTTATTTTTAAAATCACTTCGCCAATTAACGGATCATAAGATGGGTCGCTTTTTAAGTCATTTAAAGTCATGCCTTATTAGATATAAAACACTCGTGCTGCTGCCCACTCGTGTTTTATATATCTGATGAAGCACTTACGCGCGCTTTAAACAGTATTCTTAAAAAGCTCATTAATAATTGATGAAGAAAATACAAAAGAAATCACTGCCGTGTGGGTGGTTTTATATGTGATAATTTAAAAAAATCATGTTCATTTATATGAACTTCAGCTTTTGTTTGTCATAGACAACGTAGTTATTTTTAAAATTACTTCGCCAATGAACTCATAAGATGGATCGTTAAAGTCTCATTTTAAAGCACTTGTAGTCGTACTTTATCAGATATAAAATACTCGTGCTGCGCACTCGTGTTTTATATATCTGATGAAGCACTCCTACGCGCGTTTTAAATAGTACATATCAAACTCATTAATAATTCATTAGTAAATTAGCCAACCATATTGCTTTATTTTCTTCACATGATAACTGGATACCTGGTGAAGTATATTGATCACAGGACTGGTTCAAAATTAATTCAGTCCTAGGACTGGATCAAAATTAATTCAGTCCTAGGACTGGATCAAAATTAATTCAGTCCTTGGACTGGATCAAAATTAATTCAGTCCTTGGACTGGATCAAAATTAATTCAGTCCTAGGACTGGATCAAAATTAATTCAGTCCTAGGACTGGATCAAAATTAATTCAGTCCTAGGACTGGATCAAAATTAATTCAGTCCTAGGACTGGATCAAAATTAATTCAGTCCTTGGACTGGATCAAAATTAATTCAGTCCTTGGACTGGATCAAAATTAATTCAGTCCTAGGACTGGATCAAAATTAATTCAGTCCTTGGACTGGATCAAAATTAATTCAGTCCTAGGACTGGATCAAAATTAATTCGCCTCACTTTGAGTAGTGATTTATTCGTATAAGATGTCATTTCAAATCCTCCAATTCGGAATGGATTAGATTTCAAGCCCTCGCATTTTGATCAAATTGAAATTGTGCGGACTTGAAATCTAGTCCAGTCCTCATAGTCGAATTTGAAATATTACATCCGCTCAAACTCATTAATAATTCATGAGTAAATTAGCCAACCATATTGCTTTATTTAAAATTTTGCTCACATGATGATACTGGATACCTGATGAAGTACATTGATCCAGTCCTAGGATTGGATCAAAATAAATTCACCTCACTTTAAGTAGTGATTTATTCGCATGAGATGTCATTTCAAATCCTCCAATTCGGACTGGACTAGATTTCAAGTCCTCGCATTTTGACCCAGTCCTCGGCTTCGCCTCGGACTCTATCAAATTGCGCTGACTTGAAATCTAGTCCGTCCTCTTAGTCGGATTTGAAATATTACATAACATTGGTTCTCACTATAGATCAATTCGAATAATCTTAGTATCAAAATTTATCTCTTCAATGAAATTTTCGAACCTCACTAATATGCTAAAACCTTACACACCATCAGCAAATTTACGCTCTTCATCCAAGGGACTGCTCACAATACCCTCAGTAAAATTGGTTAACTATGGTGAACGATCGTTCTCATATGCGGC